ACTGAGATATTTGAATGCTAATCAATAAAACATATCACTCACTCAAGTGTTTACATGTAGTGAATCTGACTCTGTAAATAAAAAGCTCATTTCTTTTATTCTTAATTTGCACTGAAACATGGCAACACACAGTGTGTGTCCTGTACATTGTTATGGAGTGACCTCTAGTTTACTAGCGGACAGAAATGCAGTGAGTTTGCACAACAGAGTGAAAAATCCCAACAGAAAGTGTTTGGGTTGGACTCCTATCACCTTCTCCTCAGTGATGATCCTGAAAAGCCTGTAAGAAACTGAAGGTGCAGCTGCTCTCTCGTCTTTTTCCATGACTTAAAGTGTGTCATTGAATCCGAGCACAGGCGAGGCAGCTACTGTATGTGTTTAAAGTGCTTCCTTAAATATACTGAGTGCCCATAAAGTCCAGATCTGCTCACCTTAAACTCCAGCTCCATAGCTGTCACCGCCTCTCCAGCGGGCACCTGCGTGAGCTTCTGGATGTGGGCGTACAGGTTGCGGGCAGGAACTTCTGTGTTGCCGCAGACCGCAGCTTCCAGCAGGGCCTCGTGGACGAATATGTACTGATCCTCTGTCTGCACCATGTAGTTCCTCTGAGCTCGCATGCACGTCACATGACCGTATATGTCCACCGACTTCTCGTGCTTCATCCTCTCCAACATGGCGTCGATCACAATAAAGCAGCCCGTCCGGCCCACACCGGCACTGAGCACAGAGAGGAAACATACGTCAGACCAGAGATCCCTGAGCGCTTCACAGCTTTCCCCTGACTACTGTGGCATTTCCACGGGTCGGGAACAGCATCAAAATTCTCATGAATACCAGTCCAGACCAGTTACAAATGGGTCCTCGTGCCTCCATAAAGATTCACTGAGAGACGAGGCTGGCCTTTAACATTATGGAGGCAAGGAGGGGCTCATTGATTCCACTTTTATGTCATTGGTTGATCAGGGTGATTTCGTTTATATGGCTGCTTGCTCTCAACGCTTACACGTTCTTGTCTGTCTGTCATGGAGCTCAGAGATTCACGATGGACCTTAGAGTCTCTACACCTCATTGAATATTGCTCGGCTTGGATAGGCTGCTTTGTCCTTCTGGAGACACAAGCAGCAGTAAAACCTTCTTTTACAAGGCCATGCTTGGTCTTTCTTATTGACCTACACGTGAAGGAAATTATAGAT